GGAAATGCAGGCGGTCGCAATAGGCCGAACCACCTCTATTTCTTTATTGTCTCGTTCCATCAAACAGCAGGCTAAGTCACTGGTGCACTCCTCGAGCGACATGGCCTTGGTCTCCTTATCAAGGATGTACACCACTGCCCTCGAAGGCGCCGACTCACGGTTTCGGATACTCTCGCTGCCAGCCCCATGGCTCTATCGACTTCTCTGCTGCACGGTTCCTGCACAAGGAGGACGTGGATCCTTTGTTGATAGGCCAAAGCACGAGCCTCAGCCATGACTGCCTCAGACTTGCGGCAATTTATCTGGGCGATTTTGAACCCATATTTTTGGCGATGTGGGCCCATCATTGCTCAGCCGTACGGACGGTGCCATCCTCTGGAACGTCCGTGTCCATGGTAATAAGGACTGCGTCTTGTTTGCCTTGGTCGGCATTGTTCTTGTGCTTCCCGCCAGTATCCATGGTTTCCCCATAGTCCGTGGCGCACCAGGCTCTGGCAATGACTCGCGCGTGTGCCTCGCACTGTAAAGAACCCACATGATGGCTACTGTCCTTGCCCGCTCGGTGTTAATGGATACACCGTGTCGTTTCGCGTGGGCACTGCCTTGTGTCGTGGGTATCGGCGCAGATGCCGCAGACCGGGTCTTTTTTGGGGCACACCGCCGCTATGTGCCCGTACAATTGGCAATTGTGGCAGGGGGTGACGCCTGTATAGTCCTTGACTGTACATACCTGGTAGTCCAGGTAAACCTTGCCTCGGGTTGTTGCGTCTTTCCACGTACGCGGATCCACCTCGACTACCCAGGATAGATGCGGGGACTCTTCTCTGGTGCCGGTGCCGTACTTTAGAGTGAAAAGTGGCCGGATATTGGTCCTTTCCCAGGCTTCCTCCTGGCCATTGTTCACACACAACTGTTCTGAGAGGTCCTCCGGTTGAATCTCCTTAGGGACACGCAGGATCAATATTCTCGGATTCATGCAAGTGCATCATTCGTTAACAGAGTTTGCCTGTCGTCCGGGGCTTCCACTTTGACCACTACACCGCCCTTAGCAGTTATCCTTATGTCTTCGATACGGATGCGAGTCACTCTAGGGTTAATAATTTCCTTCACTTTCTTAAGGACCTCCTGGGAGTCCATTTTCTCACGTGGGTCAATAAAGACTAATTTAGTATCGTTCGCGGCGGCTTCTTTTGCCTTTCTCATTAACGAGGTCCTGTCCTGAATAGCTTGCTCTTTACAGCAGGTTTGTCAATGTTATCTGTTGTGATGTTCAGTGAAGCTTGTTTAGTGTTTTTCTGAGGAGTAGGCTTGTCAGGTGATTTTGTTTTGTTTCTTCTGGATACCACTGTCGACCATGTTTGTTCTGTATTTCTTTTTTCAATTTCTGAGTTATTACGTCCGTTTGTATGATTGGTAGTATCCTTTTGGGGGTTGCAGGAAACCTTTTCATTTCTTGAACTGTTCATGCCATTCTTTGTTCCGAATTGCTGTATTTTGCTAATACAGCATTTCAATTCAGCAACTATTCCTTTCATGGTTGTATCAACATCGCCGATAGGGTCTCGCTTTAAGTCACTCGCTATGTTCTTAATCGCCGGCGTCAAGATAAACCATCATGAGAAGAAGGAAGGTCGGAAAGGGTAGGAAGACCGATTTGGATATTACGGGAGATGAATCGTCAGTTAGTATGCGAACTCCTCTCCCAACAACCTGTACAAATGGGGGTGCCTCCGAGACTCGCCAGGAGTCTAACCGGGTTCAGAAGAGGCAGGTACCCGTGAGTGAGTGGGGGTTGAAATTTTCTGGGGATGGACAAGATCTCAGCAGTGTAAACGCGTTTCTGGAAATAGTGGAAGAACTGAAGATCAGCAGGAATGTTGATGATGAGGATCTTTTCTATTCCGCGTGTGACCTCTTCAATGGAAAAGCTCTAATTTGGTATAGAGCAATAAGGAGCAGGTGTCCAGCTGGGGAGAACTTAAGCAGGAACTGCGGGAAGAGTTCCAACCGATGGACTACGAACATCGACTGTGGGATGAGATTCGTGCCAGAACTCAGGGTGAGGATGAGACCATGGGGATGTTCATCAGTGTTATGAAGAATTATTTCTTCCGCCTACCTTCATTGCCGGCAGAGGATGAAATGTTTAGGATCATCAGGAAGAATTTACACCCGTTTTATGTTGATCGGCTGGCACCTCAATCGATAAACTCCCTGAAAGACTTAAAGGAAAAGGGACGACTATTAGAAGAAAGCCGATGGCGAATGGCGGCGCATCGGCCACCCCCTGTGCGTGGACGGCTCGTGGAGCCGGATTTGTGTTACACGCCTCTGGGTCGCCAAGGGAGTGTTAGCGTGGCTGAAGTACATCCCTCTATTCCACCAAAGAGAGTGTCTTGAGAAAATAAGGACGATCCCAGAAGAAAGGAGTTCTCGAACCGGACAAACAAACTGATCTGCTGGAATTGCGAACAACCAGGGCACCCTTTCCGTCTGTGCAAGGCTCCAAAGAAGCCATTCTGCGATAGGTGTGGCCGACGGGATGTCTCTACTGAAGCATGTGGATGCCGTCGAGGGACGGGAAACGGATCCGGGGTTCGGGGCTAGGCGGACAAGACTCGAATAGATCCCCCTCAGTCCAACCGCAACTCCACCAAATGGCAGGAATGGTTGACCACAGTGAAGGAAGTTTGTCGTCGGCCTAACCAATCATTGGAGCACCCGATGGGGGACAGGAGACCTTACTTGACGGTTTCGATTTATGGACGGGAGGAAGTCGGCTTATTGGATTCCGGAGCAACCAGGTCGTTGGTGAGCAAGGAGGTCTGGGAAGCCTTTAGGAAGCTAGGTATTACGCTAGATTCATGGGAAAGCCTGAAGCTGACATAGGCAGATGGCACCTTTATTTCAGTGCTGGGTTCCGTCTTGCTGCCTGTCGAACTTCTCGGGAAAGTTCAGACCATTAATTTTTTGGTTGTAGATCGGCTGAACTCGGATTTGATCTTGGGCGTGGATTTCTGGCGCACAATGAAAATCGTTCCCAATGTGCGGAAAGGAACATGGGAATTTGGCGATGTTTCTTGTGTAGCGAGAACCGAACCCTTACTAATAGGGGAATCGCGGCTGGAAGAAGATCAAAAAGAAAAGCTCCAAGAAGTGGTACGACGTTGGAGAGGCGCTCTTTCTCCCAAGTTGGGACATACCGATAAGGTACACCACTACATTGATACGGCAGACTCTAAACCAATTAAACAGCGGTACTACCCGGTGTCTCCGCATATCCAGACCCAGCTAAATAAGGAACTGGACGAGTTGGCCAGTGGTGTAGTGGTTCCATAAAAAAGCCCCTGGAGTTCCCCGGTTGTGTTGGTAAAAACACAGGATGGTTCCAACCGATTTTGCGTAGATTACAGACAACTGAACGCAGTTACGAAAAGGGATGCTTACCCAATCCCGTACGTGTCTCATATTCTGGATAGGCTGCGGGATGGGAACTATATGAGCTCTCTAGATATTAAATCAGCCTATTGGCAGATACCCTTGGAAGCAGGTAGCTGCGAGAAAACGGCCTTTACCGTGCCGAGAAGGGGGCTTTTTCAATTCACTCGCATGCCGTTTGGCGACGTGGCAGCGACTGATTGATCAAGTGTTAGGGGCAGATTTAGAGCCATATGTGTTCGTCTATCTTGACGATATTATAATGGTGACGCCTACCTTCGAAAAGCATCTGTACGTCCTGGAAGAGGTTTTAAAGAGGTTGGCGGACGCAAAACTTTCCGTAAACTGGGAAAAATGTTGATTCTGCCGTCCGTACCATATCTGGGAGATGTGGTAAACGGCGATGTGGACCCCGAAAAAGTAGCGTCGGTTTTCACCTACCCAACACCACAGACGGTGAGACAGGTCCGCCATTTCCTCGGATTAGAGAGCTGGTACCGCAGATTTGTTCCAGTCTTTTCAACGGTCATTTCTCCACTGATCGAACTACTTAAGAAGGGGAAGAAATGGCAGTGGGGATCTGCTCAAGAACACGCATTCGCACAGATCAAGGAGAAGTTGTTATCTGCACCGATTCTGACGTGCCCGGACTTTACGAGACCGTTTATTTTACAAACTGATGCGTCAGCCTCAGGACTAGGTGCTATCCTCTCTCAAATGCACTAAGACGGCGAAAAGGCAATTGCGTACGCCAGCAGGAGTCTCATTAGCTCAGAGCGGAAATTCTTGACTATCGAACACGAATGCCTCGCGGTTCTCTGGGCAATCGAAAAATTTCGCCCGTACATAGAAGGGATGCAGTTTACGGTGATAACTGATCATATGGCATTAAAATGGCTACACAATCTGAAAGATCCTCAAGGTAGATTGGCGCGTTGGGCCATCAAGCTGCAACAGTACGACTTCAACATACAACATCGTCCGGAGAAGAGCCACCAGGCGGCAGATGCTTTATCTCGCCGGAATGAAGGTGAGGAGGATGTTTGTGTGGTGGATTGTACGGCGGCCGCTGGAGATAAGTGGTACGCCAAGATGATGACAGAGGTGGCTGGTCACGCAGAAAAATACCCAAGTTGGAGAGTGGAGAATACAAAATTGTATAAACGCGTAGTAGATAAGAGGAAAATACTAGGAGAAGACCGACCATGGAAGTTAGTGGTTCCAAAATCCCGTCGGTCGCCGTTGATTACGGACTATCATGACAGTTCTATCTCGGGACATCTGGGAGCATACAAAACTTTACAAAGGATCAAAGAAGCCTATTATTGGCCTGGTATGGCTTCTGATGTTTCCAGGTATGTCGCAAGATGCGAGATATGTCTTTCCATGAAACCTCTTCAGAAAGCGCCGGCTGGCCTAATGGGGAAAAGAAGAGTCGCCGAAAGGCCATGGCAGATCGTTACAACCGACTTGATGGGACCATTGCCGCTATACACACAAGGCAGCATAGGTTTTTACTGGTGGTGAGCGACTACTTCACCAAGTATTCAGTCTTGCTACCTATGCGTACAGCTACCTCAAGGAAGGTCGTCGAACTCCTTGAAGAACGTGTGTTCTATATGTTTGGTGTTACCCAAGTGATAATCTGTGACAATGGGGGCCAATTCAGGAGCCGGGAATTTATGACCAAAATGGAGCAGCATCGGGTAAAGGTTTGGTTCACTCCGTTATACCATCCGCCGCAGGCCAACCCCACTGAACGAGTGAATCGTGTGGTAAAAACAATGATGGCGTCGTACGTGCGGGATAACCAGAGGACCTGGGACAAGGAGCTGCCGCGTCTGGCATTTGCCCTGAAGACAGCGGTGCACGAAGGGACCGGATTCGCCCCGGCCTACCTTAACCGTGGAAAGGAATTGGCGAGGTCAGGTGAGGATTACGACAACGACCTGGAGAATGATGGTTTAGGTCTAGATGTGAACAGAACGGAACATGAACGCAAGTTGCGGGATATGCCTATCTTGTTCAAAGAAGTACAAGATAGATTGGATCGAGCGTACTAGAGGTCGAGTAGAGCATAACTTAAGGAGACGAAAAGTTGAATACGCCGAAGGCCAAATTGTGTGGCGTCGTACAAGGAATAAGAGGTCTCCAGAGATGTACGAATTAGAAGAGATTGACACTAAACGTTCGGTAGGAGTGTGGCATGTAGAGAACATGAAACCACATCCTGAGTCAGACGGCTAGAAGGGAAACAGGACTGATCCAAGCTAATTGTGAAGTTCCGTGCAGCCAGATTTTCTTTTCCTTTTATGAGGAACTAATGAAATCCTGACCAACAAATCTTTTTTTTTTAATTTATTTTTTTTTGTGGTAAGAAGATATTATTACATTTTTTTCCTTCTTCTCGGGAAAAAAATTAATAAAGCTTAAATAGTGGCGGGACGAACCGAGAAGAGAAGCGCAAGAAGCAGGAAGCAATTCGCGGCCTGCAAGATGCTGGTCGGGAGGGCACTGGTTCCGAGACTGAAAAAAACAAAGAAAAAAAGGCAAGGGGAGTCAGTTGGATATAGACCTTCTTAGGAAGAGGTGGTCTCCGCGAGGAAAAGAAAATATTGTGTTTTTTTTAAGTGTATGTGTGTGTGTGTGTGGTTTGTGAACCTAGTCGGACTGATCGATGAGTTCCTACGAAGAGGAAGGGGCTGATCCCGGCAAGTGAGGAGTGATCCCGTGAGTTGGTACATTTCCAATTTTTTATCAGGCCTGATAATTCTGGACTAGAGACATTAGCTATAAGTTTCGGCCTTTTGTTAGCTTTTAATTTAAAAGGATTTGCCTATGTACTTGCATGTAAATAGAATAGTTGTGATTAGTATTCATTTTTTTTTTCAATCGTAGTTTTAAACCTAAGTAAGATAATACCTTACTAAGATATATACTACTTAAGAGCCAGAAGCGCTACATCGCTTCCCTTCCTTTTGTTCTACTTTTCTTTTCCTTTTTATCCCCTGGTTTCGGTATTTATCCTTCCCCAAAAATACCGTGGCGCTCAACGTAACCTATAAATAAACTTTCACCTCCTCACCGACCATCACTTGTCTCTCCCTTCAACACGTTCCCCCCTTCTCCACTGAGCTACCGCCAACGTACGTGCAGCCGCAGTAAGGAAGCTGTAACACAAGGAAGGTCATTCTTGAAAAATGCAGGTTATTTACAGGCTATACTTGGTACGTTTATACTTTATACTGCTTATCTCAACCTACAACCGTTCCAATTTTCACTCTTTTGCCATATTTTCAAATGTCGATCAGAAGAAGGTCGTGGGTTCGAATCCCGCTCGTGACACTAACTTTTCATCTCAACCGAAAACCTTAGATAAAAAGTATAATTTATTGGAATATGAGTAATGTTCATGCTTACTATTTTTAAATAAATACGTAATAAAAAAATAAGGATTAACATTTTTTTACTTTTGTTTTGTAGTTATTCAGATATCGTGAGATGCGGTCAGGTCTCACGATATCTGAATAACTATCGATTAACGGTCACTAATCTCTACACATTTGTTTTGTATTTTCTATTTTGTTTTATCCAACTAACAAGAATATATCGGTTAATTTAATTAAAATTAATATAATAAGAATAAATTACAAATATCCCTATTCATTTTTTTGAGTAGTTCTCTCACAAAAAAAAAACACGATATTTCTAGTTTATCTGTGTGTTTTTTTATATACATTTATAATTCATAATATTATATTTAAAAAATCTAATTTTCCTTGAATTAAGGAAAAATCCTTTTATGCCTTTTTTAAATAGTTATACAACTAGATCAGCTTTGAAAACTGCTTGAAAAAATTGTAATATAATATATTTAAAAAAACACTCGAAGGTTAATTAAGTTGAATTGATCGAATATATTATATTTTTTTATTTAAATATAAATAATAATCTTGGATTTATTTAACCTCGGATTCCGGTTTTGGCATGTTTACCATTGGTAGTAGAAAAAAAGGAAAATATCTAGCCTAGGATGGGGGTGAGGATTAATCAATATTTGCGAGATCTGGTGAAATCGACCATATACGATCATGCCTTGGTTGACGACGTCTCTACTGACAGTGGCGGTGTGCGTCCTGACCTACGCCGTCTACAGGACGAAGAAGATTTACAGGACGTGGAAGGATCGAGGGGTGAAACACGAGGAACCGGTGCTATTCCTAGGTGAGGACTGATTCCGTCGGAATTACAATGACTCTTACGCCCCAAGGGATCCTACTTTCAGATTTTCCGATATATATTTTTTTTTGCATCGAGAACGGTCGTTTCCAACTCTTCTAGGTCGTTAGGACCTGGGTTTCGAAGCCGTACGTTAAATTGATACGGCTTCAAATCTGGACGACGACCTTGCCACACCAAGCACTCAACTTGGTACTTACTCATAAGCAATACGTTCATTATGGGCCCTGGCATTATCCTTTTATGTTACTCGCATGTAGCGACAGCTCGCACGACAACTAATTCGGTGAGGGCTCCAAGGAAATGCAACCCCTAGGTCATCAACGACCCACCGTGGAATGCCACCTGAGAAAACCGTAGAGCATGGGGCGTACCATTCTCTCGTCTCCAAATAAAATTAGGCCCATCTGAGGATTTGAGATCAACTCTCACCTCATCTGTCCAATGTCCCCAATCCTACAGTGTCCAATTCACATTCACGTGCGAAGCCTGGACGTTTTCTGAGCTGTGGTATGAAGAGGTCTATTAGCCGCGTTGTTCTTACAGTCCTGTAGGAAATCGAAATATTTCTGACTTGTCTTATCAGATTTCTTATCTCATTTCCCGTAATGCTGCGGTTTCGCGTCTCTCTCGTCCGTACAACTAGGCCGACTCTCTCCTGGCTGGCCTTCCAGTATGAAGCCCTGTTTCTCTGAAGCGCCAATGTACCTTTCCTATTGTAAAGTGATTTTACATTTCTGTCGACTTCGCGCTTCCTCTAACAATGTTATGATCCCGACACAGTCACACTTACCCAAATGCCTGACTAGAGCCATTGAAAAAGATTTAAAAGTAAGAATCCTAAAGAAGAGGCTTAGCAGAATGGACAGGTATAGTTTTTGTGCAAATGGGATTAATCAGTACAAAGGACAAAAAACATTATTTACTATTTAATTTTGCCACGATAGTTCCTAATCATTTGTAACTGATGTAGAAAGATGTTGAATTTAATTCTAAACTAAATAAATTGAGTGTTGCATTAAATTTGTCCATCGGTGTATTTAAAAACGAGGTGTTTTAGAGATTCGGGGACTACTGTTCATTATTTATTAGGTTTATTTTTGAAATATAAAATTTCCTTTTCTAACATATAATTTTCAACCCGCTGGCCTCACTTCAGATGAGCTATTACTGGGCTTAATTCCGGTCTTCGCCTTGTTCAATTATAAAGTTTTTAAAAACATCCGTCATTGATTTAAAAATATTGCAGCTTATCTAACCTTCTTCGTTTTATATATATANTTATTATTGTTAAGTAGCATTAGTGTATTTATAGTATTCGAATGGAAGAATGAAAGGACAACTTTGAGCCTATACTCATGCTGTAATGGTTGGTAGTCTGATTCCATTGTTATTATTATTATTATCGGCCATACTAGCCTATGGGAAATGTTTAAATTATGGAACAAAAATTCGAACTAGCTAACCTAAAATAGAAGGTTTGGATGTTAGGGCGTGAAAATAATAATAATAATATAATAATAATAGGACTATAAAACTTGTAACAAGCAAGAATTTCCGTTCCGGGAAAAAACGTTTTGAGGTTTATTAATGTAATAAGTGCATGATTGTGGTGTATTGTGGAAGCTAGGACGTCCCTTTGTCAGTCTAGTGTTTTTTGAAGTATTTTTTGGTGAGGTGAGTTCAATTGGATAAATATTTTGACGACGATTAGACAAGTCTGCTGGGTGCTAGTTTATAGCTCGTATTCCATATTGGGAAGTTTGGGGACTGACTCTCTCTAGAAACCTGGTTTCAGGGTTGGGTAAGATTTATTTATTTAGTTTTTTTCTTTTTCTTTAAACGTCATCTGTTTTTTCAAAATTTTCCAAAATCATTTGAAAGGCCCTTTCGGCCAAGTGGGTCGAGAAGGTTTTCGAAATCGATTACCCCTTCTAAATAGGACTCCCTCTCCTGTAGTTTCTACTTCTGGGGCAAGACATTTTATTATTTGTAGATCGGATGGGAAAGATAATGGCGGCCTTCACTCACTATCGCCAATAAGAATATGTAGAATAATAAATAGAGAAGTCGGGAAAGTAGTACACATAAAAAAAGGTCGTGACGGTGTAATTTATATTGACGCGTTCAATGAGGAACAAGGTAATAAAATAACGAAAATTAAAAATTTAGAAAATACACGATAAAGGTTGAAAGAAATTAAAATTGAACACCTCAAAAGGTGTAATTTCTTGCTGGGACTTGAAATAGTTTACTGATGAAGAACTCCTCGAAGAATTAAAGAGTTCTAATGTCATAAACATTCATCGGTTAAAAAGAAAAGATGGTAGGACATCTTTTTCATGGGTTGTCACATTCAATACTCCGTGTCCTCCAAAAGAATTGTATGTTGCCTACATGAAGATAGCCGTAAGACCCTTTATTCCTGCTCCCCTACGGTGTTTTAAATGTTTAGATTTTGGACATACAATTTCTTCTTGTAAGACGAAGGTTTTTATGTGTGGATGAGGGCTGGAAAGGCACGAAAAGACTGTTCCTTGTCAGTCTCCAGTGTGCATGAATTATCAAAGCCCACATAACACCTTGGCGCGTTATTGCCCAAAATATAAATATGAAACCCAAGTTTTGGAGCTGAAAGTGAAAAATAAAATAACGTTTAATCAAGCAAAGCCCCTAATAGGCTCTGGCCTTATTCAAAAAGGGATTACCTTTGCCGAAAAAGTTAAAATGGCACGAAAGAAATTGGTTGTCAGACGGAGTCAGGGAACAACTCACTGAACTTAATCCAAAATCTGTCATCTTGCCAAAAAGAATCGAAACCAAAAATGGTAGAAACTATGGTAAAAATTTTATGGATCCTCCTGTCAATATTTTTGAATGTACAAATTGCCCACCTTAGAACCCTCCCAGATTAGGAAATCTATGTAACAACGTCAACATTGACGTTGCCACGTTTACGGAAAAAAAGTAAAGCTGCCGCCTCTGAAGCGATTCCAAAATAAATAGGGAATGCGAACCTGTCTGTAGAGCAAAAAAAGGCCCTAAGACGGCTGTGGAGGTTTCCGACTGATGAAAATTTGTCAAACTTTCGTAAATCCAGAGCCAAAGAAAGAAGAGTAATAAAGGAAGCCAAACAAAACTCTCTAAAATATTTAATTTCCAATTTAACACCACGTATGGAATCCTCGGATATATGGAGGAAGATCAGGGCAATTTCGGGCAAAAGAAAACCCCCAATTATGCCAATACTTCGTGCAGAAGACATGGTCATAACAGAACCGTTTCAAATTGTTGAGCGAATAGCTCGTCATTTTGAATCTGTTTTTAATTCCAACTGGTATTCTGAGCGTTTCAGGCAGATAAAGGAGGAGGAAGAAAGACACGATTTAAATTTTGCAACTGATGTAGAAGAAGTTTGGAACACACACCCTACGGTTTTTTAAATGTTTAGATTTTGGACATACAATTTCTTCTTGAAAGAAGATTTTTATGTGTGGATGTGGGCTGGAAAGGCACTTAAAGACTGTTCCTTTTTTAACATATAATTTCCAACCCGCTGGCCTGACTTCAGATTCGGCTTCTTTCAAAAACATCGGTCCTGGGTTTTAAAATATTAACGCTTTTATTTTTCTTTATTACTATGATCAGTTTCCTTGACAGATAATCCGTCATATAATTATTTATCCTTGTCCTTTCATCGTAATGAGAAACGAGCGTACCGTTTTTATTTTGCTTATTGATGATGCTTTGTTGTCAGTATCCAATTCGAATTAATTATAATATAAATAATTAAGGGACTTGAAATGATTGAGTTTTTCTCTTGTGCGCGTAAAGGGATTTTCATTGTATGCTGCGTTTAGATCAAAAACCGAATAATACGCACCTTTTGTAAATAAAGATAAGACAAGCCCGAAATGTTTCGATTTCCTCAAGAACTGTAAGAACTAAATACTAGGACAAAATTTTTGTTACATTTTATTCGTCTTCTATTTATTTTTCTTTACTCAGTAATATTATTACTATTTTTTGACACAGATACCAAGTAGAAAGTTATTTCTAAGTTACCCGTAGCCATTTTTCATAGGTTAAAAACATATTTAAAAAAGGAAGGTTGTTTGTAGGTTAACCGTCGCCATTTTTTATCGGTTAACAAAATGCATAGTAGGTTAATTTTAGATTACCCGTAGCCCATTTTATAGGTTAAAATTATATAAACAGGGAGGTAGTTTGTAGGTTAACCGTCGTCATTTTTCATCTGTTAACAAAATTCAAAGTAGTTGGTTATTCTAGGTTAACCGTCGCCTTTTTTCATAGGTTAAAAATATATAAACTGAGAGATTGTTTGTAGGTTAATCGTCGCCATCGGTTAACAAAATGCAAAATAGTAGGTTAACTCTAGGTTTTACTAAAAATCGTAGCCATTTTTGTATTAACAAAGTATAAGCAGAACTATCCGGTGGTTTCTAGTTTCTCGTTTTTTATGAGTTAATATAATGTACAAAAATAAAGATTATTTTTTAGTTTCCCGAGCTGTTTTTGTAGGTTACCTGACGAAATAAAAATAAGGTTGGTTTTTTTTATCATTTATTTGTTTTTGTTCCGAGTAAAGGAAACTTTCTGAGGACGCTGACGAAGAAAGCATCCCACGGCGAGAGGCTGAAAGAAGTGTGCGACATGTTTCCAGCCGAGAAGATAGTCGGCTTCTACGAATTCCTCCGGCCAGTCCTCGTTGTCAAAGACCCGGAATGCGTCGAGGCTGTGCTTATCAAAGATTTCAACCATTTCTACGACCACGGGTTCGAAGTGGACGAAAAGTTCAACCCTATCGATGCCAACCTTTTCACCATGTCCGGAAGAAGGTAGTCGAAATGATTGATGATTTTTCTTTTTAAGTTTTTCCTTTGTGAAATTTTTGGGCCATATACTTACTGTCGTTTTTGTCAAGGTGGAGGGCTTACAGGACGAAGTTGTCGCCGATATTCACAACAGGGAAGTTGAAATCCATGTACGGACTTATGACGGACATCGGTGAAGATTTGATGAAGGCGATAAACAGAGAGAAAAAGGAATGCATGGAGTTGAAAGACGTCCTGGGACGTTTCGCCATGGACGTGATTGGTTCATTCGCGTTCGGATTCGACTCCGGCACCCTGGCCGATCCCGAGTCCAAATTCAGAAAAATGGGCAAAAGAGTATTCGAGTTCAACGTAGCTAAGTTCCTCAAGTTCATGTTCATCTTTAACTTCCCGTATCTAGCCAAGAGGCTCGGCCTCTCCTTCAACGACAAACGGGTCCAGGAATATTTCGTCGGAATCATCAAAGACGCGATAAGGCTCAGGACCGAGGGAAAGACGAAGAGGAAGGATTTCCTCGATTTGATGCTCCAGCTGAGGGAAAAAGGTTCGGTCGAGTTGACCTCAAGAGACCCGGGAGACGGCTACTTGGACATCTCGGACAACTACACGACAGACAAATTCGGTAACAAGTTTAGAAATAACCACACAACTAGGTTATTAGTCCAACTGGTAGGTTGTTTACTGGCTATCCCCACTCAAATAAAAATTTTTGTTATTCGTATGTTAACAGCAACATAAACATAAAGGCTGTCTTTATCCGAATCAAACAGAGTTATTTATCTGTTATCCATTAAAAAAAGAGTAGGTTATCCCAAGGTTACCCATAAAATGTCAAAGTAAAGTTATTCATATGTTATCGATAAAAAATACTATGTATAAAAGTTCGGATAACGTAAACATTATGGCTCTTTTCATGAATAAAACGCAAACCTTCATTATATAAAATAAAATCATTTACCCAAAAAATGTAGCTTATGTTACGGTTATCTAGCAAAGGTAGTTAATACTCTATAGTAGGTTATGCTTTGGCTATACTTTTGGCAAATGAGGTTTATGTATTGGTTACACGTCTAATGGTAGTTATAACCCTGATTAGTAGGTTATTTATTGGTTATCCATTTTTGAAGGTAAGCTAAGTATTGGTTATCTGATAAAAAGTAGTTTTATATTGTATGAATAATAGGATATTTATTGACCATTTATTGAGTAGCAAGGTGTGTTATGTATTGGTTATCCTTTAAGGAAAAATTTAGGTTATGTTATGGTTATCTACCAACGGTAGTTTGAAATTCTCTGAATAATCGGTTATGTATTGGCTATACATTTGGAAAATGTGGTTTATGTATTGGTTACACGTCTAATGGTAGTTATAACCCTGATTAGTAGGTTATTGATTGGTTAACCATTTTTGAAGGTAGGCTAAGTATTGGTTATATGGTAAAAAGTAGTTTTATATTCTATGAATAATAGGACATTTATTGACCATTTAGTGAGTAGCAAGGTGGGTCATGTATTGGTTATACTTTGAGGAAAAATTTAGGTAATGATATGGTTATCTGGCACCTCTAGTTTATTATTCTCGAAAAGTAGGTTATTGGTTATGTTATAATAGAAGTCATCCGTGTGTCATCCATCTAACGGTTGTTTCTTAATAGAAGAAATTAATTTTTTTCATATATTAACTATTTAAACAAGATAAGGTAACCAATGGATAACATACTTATACTACCTTGATATCAACAAGGAAGGTTGTTCAAGCAAAATGCAGGTTATTTACAGGTTATACATAGAAAAACGTTTACATGGATTATAAAATATAAAAACCTAACTTGATTTTTTCATGTTTAGAAGTGACAGATGATCTGATGGTCGGGCAGGCTTTCGTTTTCCTCACGGCTGGTTTCGAGGCAACAGCGGCGACCATGAATCTAGCATTTTACGAATTGTCCAAGAATCCCGGAATACAGGAACGAGTCAGGGAGGAGATAAATGAAAAAGTACGAGAACAAGGCATCCTCAGCTTCGACGCCGTCAAGGACATGGCCTACCTGGATATGTGCTTGAAAGAGACGATGAGGAAATACCCGCCGGCCCAGGTGCTCTTCAGAAACTGCACGAAAGAGTTCACATTTCCCAACGGCCTCGTCGTCAAACAGGGCGAGAAATTAATTATTCCGGTTTTTTCCATTCATCGCAGCCACGAGTACTACCCTGACCCGGTGAAGTTCGACCCTGAACGCTTCGGACCGGATTCGTTCCAGAAACCCTGCACATTCATGCCATTCGGCGAAGGGCCGAGAACATGCATAGGTAAAGAAAAAAATTAACAAAAGCAATCATTTATAATTAAATTAAATAATCTTCCAGCAATGAGGTTCGCCTTGCAGCAGATGAAGTTCTGCATAGCCAAGATACTCATGTTCTACAGGATCAAACTGAACGCCAAATCGAAAACCCCCATTGAACTGAGTAAAAAGACATTCATAACATCAACAAAAGACCCTCTGTACTTCGATCTGGAAAAAGTCACCTCTTAAAAATAATAATTTATAAATTATACACCTACAAACTGTTGTGTATATTTTATTGTTTATAATGTGTGCATAAGGTATCCACCGAAAAGATGCAGGTTATCCAACTGTAAAGAGGGAGGCCCTAATAGGTTATCCAACGTTTAAAAAATTAGGTTGTTAACAGGTTATCCACATCAAAGACAAAGGTTGTAAAAATGGTCATCCAAATGAAAAAATATTCACTTGTTTTTATCATCCAGCTCACTATAAGGAAGTAGGCTACTCATTGGTTATCCGCTTCGTTAAAAGGTATTGGTTACATGTCAAAGGGTATTTATAAACCTGAATAGAAGGTTATATATTTGTTATCCATTTTGAAGGTAGGCTATGGATTGACTATCTGATAAAAAGTAGTTTTATATTCCATGAATAATAGGATATTTCTTGACCATTTATTAGCAAGGTGCATTATGTATTGGTTATTCTTTGCGGAAAAATTTAGGTTATGTTATGGTTATGTGGCAACTCTAGTTTATTATTATCTGAATAGTAGGTTGTAGGTTATATTATAATAGGTTGTTAATTTGTTATCCATCTAACGGTAGGTTCTCAATAGAAGAAATTCATTTTTTTTCATAGGTTAACTATTATAACAAGGAATAACCTACTTATCCAACCTTGTTATCAAGAAGGAAGGTTATTTGTGCATAATGCAGGATATTTACAGGTTGTTCATAGAAAAACTGTACGTTGTACATAATTATAAAATAGAAAAACCTAACTTGATTTTGTCTACAAGTTATCCAGTTAAATAGAAGTTCTTCATTGGTAATCAAACTGAAAAAATATACGTTATTTTTACAGATTGGCCAACTATAAAAAGGTAGATTTTCTATAGGTTATTCTATTTTTTAAAAAAAGTAGGTGGTTGACAGGTTATCCCGAATCAAAGGCAAAGGTTCTAAAATGGTTTGAAAAAATATTCACTTGTTTTTACAGTCCAGCTACCTATAAGGAAGTAGGTTACTCATTGGTTATCCGCTTCCTTAAAAAAAGCTAGTTCTTATATAACAGTTATAAAGCTGAAAAGATAGACGTAACTTATAAATTTAAAATAACAAGACTAGCCTATGGTTAAAAGTTTCACATAATTATCTACAAAAATGAAGGTTTTACAGATCCAAATAAGCCAACAGACAATAGCAGATTTTACAAGATTATGTCCACAAAAAGTTTCTCATAATCAGGTTAGCCCATAGTTGAGAGGTAGGTTTTAAATCATCTACCAGGAAAAAGAGGTAGTCATGTCGTCACAGATGAAAATCCAACCCATTTAAAATATAAAATATGCGACTACGAGAGCCTCTTCTGTGACGACCTTGGTATTTCCTTTGAGAATCACGGAGAGAGAGAAGCATGTTTGCCTCTTGGAATGGGAATACTGGATTGAAAAAGCGTGGTAAAAATTGGTTAAATTATTAAATAATTAAATATTTAACTACTATTAAAATTGTTCTGCCATCATCCAACTTGACAACTGAGTCATACAATTCATCATACAAATCAGTTCTTATGGCATCACACTTCCTAATTCAGTGGATGTACGCTGTAATAAGAATTCCCGAAACCTAACAAACCAGTCCAACTTCCTAGTTCCTATCGCCCCATCGGTCTCTTTTCCTCAAGCGAAAATCCGTGAAAAACTAACTCCTCTTTAAAAGATTAATCCTTACTCTTCAGAATGAAAAAGTATTACCATCACATCAGTTTTGGGTTCCGCTCACTTCACTCCACTGTGCAGCAGGTGCACCTTGTTATGGCAGAAACTATTGCCGTTTCTACTGAGCGAAAACAGTATTGTTCGGGTGTCTTCCTAGACGAGGCTTTCGACCGGGTATGGCACCCGTTTGCTGTGTAAACTCAAGAAATTTCTTCCCTATACCTTTTATCTCATCTTCCGATCCTACCTGACTGATATTGCCGTGTCTGTCAGAGAACATCCCTTTCCTTTTATATTCCAGAAAAATGTGGGGTCCCTCAAGGAAGAATCCTTGGTCCGATTCTCTTTAAAATGTACACTGCTGCCACATTCCTGAACAGTCATCTCCACATTTGACGACACGGCTATCCTCTCCTTCACTCCCACCCATCCGTTGTAAGCTCCTATCTGCAAAGTCACCTTACCCTATTAGAAGACTGATACCGGATATGGAGAGTCAAAGTGAAAGAAAGTAAAAGTTTTCAGTCACTTTCGCACTAAGAAAATCACTTTGTCCTCCATTATGACCGAATGACATACTGATACCGACTGCTCACATAGTACGATACCTGGAACTGTACATGGATAAAAGACTGCTGTCGAATCCAGTCATTCTCCTGAAACGACAAGACATGAACCTTCGTTAAAAACACTAACTGAGACTACTTGACCAACGATCTCACCTAACCTTTTTTTTTTTTTTTTTTTTTTTTAATGGATACCAGGGACTGGAGGAGTTCCCTCCTGAGTACTGCAGCTGAGCTGTACAGCTTATTGTACTTTATCCCCGGCTCCATATTTTGGGGGAGGGCTCGCAACACAAATGTGAACTTGAGCCCCCGTTGTACCGGTGTTCTTCCATCGAAGAAACTCATTTTTGAAGGGGGTTGGGACCAAATTCAGGGTCGCTGAGATCCGTTCCCGCCCCTTCCATTGATGAGTGCCGTGTCAATTTCTTTCAATTGCGGCCACCGGTCCCCTTAGGCGTCAGAAAAAGTCCAGAGGCGACGGTGGGGATCGAACCCACGACCGCGGGATCTAATAGCCGAGAGTCTGACGCCTTAACCACTCGGCTACCGCGGCCCCTCCCCCTAACCTTAAAGCTGACCATTTACACAACTCTCATTCGTCCGATATGGACGTACGGAATGGAAGTTTGTGGCTCAACCAAGCATTCCAATTCATTCAGTTGTCCTTGAACACCTGGTTCGTTGTTCGATCAGAAGATAATGCCGCAGATCTTGCATCTCGAGGTTCCAATCTATCGGGCATTTCGACGCGAAATATCTGGTTTCAAGATCTCTCTTGGGTTGCTCGTCCTTTTCATAAATGGCCAGTTAATTAATCTCTTTCTACGGGATTTGCAAGAGATCAAACCTATAACTGCTTGAGTACCTTATGAAGTCAAATCACAAGAATCTTTCTCTAGGATTCTTCTTCTTCTTCTTGGCAAATATCTGCATATTGTTTCTGACACTCCGAGTCTATATGCCTACGGAGTGCGCAGTGTCCAGTTAGCTGTCCATCTATTATTCTAATCCTAGCACGTCCTAGATTTAGTAGTTCTACCGTTAGTTTCTGCTACAGTCCCATTGAGCGGAGGTCATATTATTAATCCATTGTAGAATGGATCCGCGTTTTTGGCAGTTTGGTAAGCCACAAACAGTTTCAAGGCTAATAGGAGTCCTCATTGAATTTTCCTTGGCCAATTTATCGGCCCCCTGTGTGCCCTGGCACCCAAGATTTATGTAACAATATTAATTTTGTACTGTTTATAATTTATCTAAACATATGTTGAACAATTATAAAAATTAAGGTGAGTGACGTTAAAATTAGGTTGGCCCTGCAGACAAACGATATCAAGTAGGTCTGTTTGTCGCTTGGAGTCAGTGGCAGTGATTGTCGAACCTTTGAACTGTACGCACCTATTTTTCGTAACCGACTTTTTCCCGAACCTATTAATTAAGTGAACACCTACCGGCAAAAATTTATAACCTCAGTGAAGGCATCACGTACGTCACCAGATCCCCGACCATCTGAAGAATATATAATCCTATACGCTTGATTTGACCGACAAATTCTGCTACCTCGATCTGAACAACATTACCTCCATCAAAAACACCAGCTGATTGCACATTAAAATGTTTTAGTTTGAATAATATTTAGTTTGGTTTACTTTGTTAAGTTTTAGTATTTCCCTGGCCAGTTATGGTTAAGAATTTGTTTGTATATGTTAAATGCTAACAGAAGTAATAGCATTGATTTATATTGAAGTAAAGAGATCAGGGATGAAGCCATGTAGGTGGGTTGGAGAGTTGGAAGAGATGACAAAAATACCCTTTTATATACTCATTGACATGTTGGAAGAGGTTGCAATTGAAGATTTTTTCCATTTCCAAGATGAATTCTACAACCAAGAAGATGGATTGGCAATGGGTAGAAGATTGCCCTCAATTCTGGCGGATAGTTTTTCTTCATTTGGCTCCATGTGGGGTGATTCCCCTATTACATCCCCCCTTGGATCCGCTACTGGTCATGGTTGATCATCCCAAAAGCATTGGAGAAATCAAGCAGCACAGAGTGCATACGTGAATATCCCACGTCGTATGTCTTCATTAATTTTTTGTAACTATGTTGATGTCGAAAACAGATTGAAAAGGTGAAAGCGGTGATCGAGTATCAAGTAAGTTATTAATTTGTTTGTAATGATTTCTAGAGCTTTAGTTCAATCACATCGTCACTCCCGAAGATTTTGTTTATTTTGGCCTCTCGTTGTTAACCGAACAATACCTAATATTGTCCTTGACAGAACCTTGAATGTATGATTAAACGACAACCAACCTGCAGGCGGTCTCCTACAAAATGTAGCACTACGATTTATATTCTAAATAAATAAATCTACCAAATTGCGCGTATCGAATGTGGAGCTGATAATTATATTTCAAGTGACGCCAAAGAGCTGAAATGAAATCAAGACGCTATGATATACTACTAAATAATAAGATATAATACTAAACCCTCTTTTACGACGTCAGTCACTAAGGTTAGCGAAAAGAAAAAAAAAACATTGAACACTTGTGTAACAACCTAGGATACAAAAATAAATAACAAATCCATTATATTTAGTGGTCTATTGACCAAATTACTTCTTTCAATTACTCAACCTTTTTATGTAAGGTTTTGGTCGAAATGAAAAAGCTAGTGTCACGAGCGGGATTCGAACCCACGACCTTCACGCCGCTGCTCTTGAAAAATGGCAAAAAGAGGGAAAATTCGAAAGGTAGTAGGTTGAGACGGGGAGTTGGTGTCCGAGTGGATCGAAGTCACGATAGCTCAAGTGGCAGAGCAGCGGCGTATTTAGCCGAAGGTCGTGGGTTCGAATCCGCTCGTGACACTAACTTTTTCATTCAGCACTAGTGATTGTTAGAGCAATTTTATTGCAAAAGGGTTCTTGAAAGTCAACAGTTTGCCGGAGTGCGAATCCCAAATTTTTAAACGCTTTATTTTTTACGAAAATTAATTTCTTACTTCTTCTAAAAAAAATGTTATTAGGAAACTATACTGAACATACGGAATATTTTAACGGAGCATGCACTTCAAAGGCTGCGGCCTGGAGATTGGTACTTAAATCAATTTTCCTAGAGGGAATATTATTTCGAATATAGAGTACCACGCTCCCATGAGCTCTACCTCCATCAGAAACCTCAACCTCTTTAGAAAAATCATTATAACCTCTCAACATAAAGGATTCCGTTTCCTTAAGATGAGTCTCCTGAAGAGCGAGGATAAAAGGAGTATGGTCCACCATGATCTTCTTCAAAAAGCAATAACTATTTTTCAGTCCTCCTTCATTCCATTGGATGATTGATTCCATATTAATTTCAAATTTTCAACTTTATACCTCACACGAGTCAGCTTCACTGACTACATAAGCTAAAATCACCCATCATTTACACTTGTTATAAGAATTAATGAAAAGTAAGATATTAAAATTGAGTTATTAACTCATGGTTGATGTAATATAGGCACAAATTCACAGACGGGTGTGCACATTAAATTCACAGACGGGTGTGCACATTACCCACATGTGCTGAGTTGGGCCTATCACTTCTCAGAGTCCATCGACACTCTGACAGTTCCAGTTTGACAACAGATTGCCGATGGGTTCTGACAATCACCTACCCCTTAGGTTATGCTCCGTGTGCTAACTACAGCTAGGTCTTTCCAGTGTGTTTGAATGAAATAGCTGTTGTTAGCACACGATGCAATCAGTAACATTCACACCCTCATGCACTCTTAAATACAATCATTCCTATTTACATGCCTTACATACTTACACCATTCATTCAGTTAGGGTGATTGAGTACTCAATATTCCTCAATCACCCTTAATATGTATACATAAATTTTAAATATGATCTTGTACATAATCTAATCTTAATTCTAAATTTATGCAATGTACAAGTTCCAATCTAAATAGTATACCAACTTATGCACCTTGATAGTTTTTGGCATTAAATAATAATAAATATTTACTCTAAAACATATCTATTTTGATTGATAAATAACATTTTTGCAATTTTCGTGATGTCAGATGGGATCTTTTTTGAGTATATAATTAACCCCCTTTAGAGAAGATCCTGTCAGAGAACAGAGGTTGCAGGAATACACAATCTGTTCAATGCTAAATCGTACAAATTAGGAAATTACGTTTTCTCTCATTCCAACAAATCATAGGTCCACTAGAAGTTCTGCTATATACGACTCAACTTCAAGAATAGCAGAAGCTTTTGGATCTTGGACCGTTCTCATACTGAAAACTAACTAATTAATTTCTTGCCAAATTTTGGAATTTGATGTGCTTGGCTGATTAAATGAAATTTCAGCTGGAGAACTATCAGCCTCTTTGTGAGCACAAACTGGGATTCTTCTCCAAATCCTTTTATTTTTTGTGCTGGAGGTCAAGAAAGATTGATTAACTTATTGCATCATTCCTTTCCTGGTTCCCAAATAGATGACTTAAGGATTCAAGTGTATTTGTCCCCTAACAGCTTAACCGATTCACTTAAGCCTACTGGAGTATGAAATAATAAATTAAAAAAAGGAAAATAAAGTGACAATAAAAAAGAAATAAGAATTTGGAAAAAAAGGATAAACACTAACACACAAGCTTCACTAACAAGTAAATAAGTACATTTGATTTGAGTTCACAGTTTGGGAAGGTACTCACTTGAGAATGACTCACGAAAAACTAAGCTTAAGGCAAAATTAAAATATAAGAGGCCTAAGAAGCAGGTAAATATTTCGGTTTCAGTGAAGCGATGACTGCCTGAAACCAGACTTTAACGAACTTTGGACTTCAAAGCGAACAAATAAAACCGAACTTGGTGCTTGTTGAAAATGGTGAAGGTGAACCAATTCTTTTCTTCTTTTGGTCCATGCGATTCCCTGATTCATTTATCCCCTCTGTTATACCTTATAGGACCTGAGCTAGCAGAGCTTAATACCTATTTTTTAGTTATACTACAATAACAATTTCAAAAAAACATTTAAAATAAATTCTAACAAAACCAATGCATTGATATTTTGAGATGAGAAATGAATAACAATAATAATTTCAATGAATTATTTCTTTCATCTTAGCCAAGACCTTACTTTAAAAAAGTAATTAATTGAAATAATTAGTGAGGTCAATTATGACCGCTAAATATGTATGGATAAATATAATAATAATAAAAATGATCATAGAATAATAATTATTGCTTACTTAATTTTTTTATTTGTTGACAAATTACTTACGTGGCTACGTAAATGAATTTGCTATAGAATATAAAAAAATTTTAAAATGTTTACATTTTAAATAAAAGCAACAAAAAAAAAAAAATACAGAAAACTTACTGATTCTATTTATTTATACATATTTATTACTTCTACGGTATTTTGCATATTGTAAATAAAATTGTAAAATTTGAAAAAGTAGATAATTTATTAATTTAAAAAATGTTAATTATTAATTTATTTATTGGTCAAGAGATTCTGGATTGGGAACATTGAGCTTGTTATTGACAGCTTGTTATTGACAAATTGAGTAAAATGTCTCCGGTCTCCGAGAAAACTGGATGGGGCTAGAAAGAATTCTTGAGGAATCGAAAGAATCAAACTGGGAGTACGGGAGTTGAATCGAAGGAATAGAAGAGGAGTCGTCAAAGTTATTGGAAGAATCAAAAGTTGTTGAGGAATCGTCGGGAATCGTGTGACGTAATCCATCCCCTCCAGTTTCCTGAACTGAACCGCACTCACTTAAGGGAATCAATTGGGTGGTCGATTCTTTTAGAAGAGTCGATTCTTTGAATTTTGGATTGAGTTCAGTGAGTTGTTCATTGATTCCGTCTGACAGCCTATTTCTTTTGTGTTCAATTTTAACTTTTTCCGCAAAGGCAATCCATTTTTGAATAAGGCCAGAGCCTATCAGGGACTGACTATGCTTGATTAAACATTATTTTATTTTTTATTTTCATTTCCATAACTTGTGTTTCATATTTTTATCTTGGGCAATAACACACCATTATCTTGGACAATAACGCACCAAGGTGTTATGAGAGCCCTAACAATTCATGCAAACTGGAGGCTGACAAGGAACAGTCTTTAAGTGCCTTTCCAGCCCTCATCCACCGCTGTCATAATTCGCTAGATCATTTCAGCCCCCAACGCATATTTATTTCAATATAAATCCTCCAATAATCTCACTTGCAATTATTTTTCTGGTCTGTCCATTGTCTATTTACTAAAAACACCGATGTTTTATGAAAAAGGTTAAGGAATTTTTAAGATTTTTTATAAATATAAATCTTATAGTACAATAAAATATTAATTTCCTTTCATTTTATATAGAAAATTAGTAACAAAAATCCAAGGCAATAAACCATTGAACAATGTGTTGATTCGTCTTCAGTATGTTATGTATGCTTGTCCTATTTGTGAAGGTGCGCCAAAAGTAAAATCGAACTGTCGCTATAAAATAAAGTTCTGCGAATTTTTGATCTGGATGTAAATGCGTTGTGGTTGGTGAATTTTAGTTTAAATCTTTAAATGAGATGGTCGAGGGAAGGCAATCAACGACGTAAAGCAAATGACGTGCTAATCTGAAAAAACCTCTCATAAAAGAGTCTAAAAAAGGAAAATACAAAATAGAAAACTTAATATTGTACGATGAAAGAAAAGGGATGGAAAACACTAAATATAAATTAACAAATAAAAATAAATTCATATGTAATCAAATAATAAGAAATTGTGGATACACGTTTTCATAGAGACAATTGCGTTTTAACTGAATGTGAAAACGGTTGTAATTGTGTGAAAATATTTTGTCTTACATTATACTCCGTCTATTTCGTGGCTGAGATTTTAAGTACGTACATTTATAGAAATATTTGCATAGAGTGAACAAATAACTCCTGCATATAGTTCTTTTTTATATTTGTATCATTTTTTATTGTTATATTAGTTAATACCTAGTTAAGTAAAAATATTCTAGAAAAGAAAGAAACCAAAGCTGTGGCCCCGCGTGGTGAGGTGGGGGTGGGGCCTGGGTGTGGCGGCGGCAACGGTGTGCCCTGTTTCTGCATACAAAGCATTCAAAGAAATTAAAAGAATCTCCTCAGACTTGCCGGAATTTTACCTTCGACAAGACTTAGAGCGACGTCGCGATACAAGAAGGTTCGCTAATTCACGACAAGAAAGAGAGGATACTTTTTTTAGCCGATGCATCGACCGACGAAGATGAAGAAGCACAACGTGCAGGAACTAACAGAAGAGTTATATATCATCAAGCAGCAAACGTAGAAGATTCTCCCAACATTTTAGAAGGAATTTATCCACGTCTTGAAGTCGATCGTTATAGGCCAAGTAGAGCTGAACGTAGCCCAATACTAGCCGCAATACTGGAGCATCAGCGGTCCTCTACAGTGCAAGAAGAAAACACCGAACAAGCAGCTAGGTACTTTAAGTAAATTTTAACTTTAAATATTCCTATTGTATAACTTTTACCTCTTACAGTTTAAGCACCGAAATTGAAACCCCTGAAAGGAACGAAGAAAGCATTGATATGCCGAACACTGACAATCGACTGAGGTACTGTTACAAAATTTTAACTTTTAATATTCTTATTGTATAACTTTTACCTCTTACAGTTTAAGCACCGAAATTGAAAGCCCTGAAAGGAACGAAGAAAGCACTGATATGCCGAACACTGACAATCGACTGAGGTACTGTTACTAAATTTTAACTTTTAATATTCTTATTGTATAACTTTTACCTCTTACAGTTTAAGCACCGAAATTGAAACCCCTGAAAGGAACGAAGATAACACTGAAATGGCGAACATTGATAATCGACTGAGGTACTGTTACTAAGTTTTAACTTTTAATATTCTTATTGTATAACTTTTCCGTCATACAGATCCGGAAATATTAATGACACGGAAGAGCCCAGTTCTGAGATTAGTATCACTAATCTCAGAAACAGGTACTGTAACTAAATTTTCATTTTCAATATTCCAATTATATAACTTCTTATAATTACAATAATATATTATTTTCGTTTTTAAATTATATAGAAAAACTAAAAATTAAAGGAGCGGGGTGGGCAGGGAGCAAGGGTTTCCATGCGGAGACCCTACCGTCCAATGTAAGAATGAAAGCTATAAAGACTAGTTTAGACTAGCTATATAGCACTATAAAGACGAACGGACGAAAAGGAATAAGTCGTAAGCAATTCTAACTAATATTTTACTCACTTTATCTCTTTACAAAGAAGCAACAACCTTTACAACCTGGAGATCGGAAATGGCGAATCTCATGGATCTTAGGGTTTATTTAAAAACAAACTTGAATTGTCCCATGGTGTAGGAGATAAGTGAAAGATAAAGAGTAACTTTCTTTCCCGCTCCGTCCTTCCTTGATAAAGGAATCGAGAACGTTTCTCCGGAGATGCCAGTCACAGTTTCTGACACCTATCCCTACCAATAAACTACAAAGTCTTGTTCAATAGTTTTGCCGTTTTCAGATGCAGAGCTAGCAGGATGGTCTCGAGGATTGCAACAGGTTGCAAAATTTCCTTCTTTGTGAAGTTAATTTTTTTTGTAGATATAGAACTACGTTAACAATACGGTAATAAATGTTACAATAGAACAGAAAAATGGCATGTTTTCTGTTTATCCTCAAATCGCTATTGTCTGAACCATACATTTCCATGTTATAAGGATTTACCTATTTGTAAATGTACACTTCATTAATATACTTTTTTGTGTAGTAGAAGACTCGTATTAACAAACTTTAAAATTTTTAAACATTTTAGAACGTAAGCATGTATAATAGAAGATTTTGTTGTGATTCATTTAAAAATCCCTATTGTTTCCACAGGTATATTGCTTAAAGAAAATGAGCGTCATAGGACGATGTACAAATCACCCCCAAGATCTGTTCATTTGCAATGTCGAAAGTAATTTTATATATTGAATCATCTTGGAGAGATTATTTAAAGACGTGCCTATTAGGACACTCAAGTGCCTAAGTAAAACCAAAGCTTGTGAAAGAAGTGTATACCGTCGGGTACATCAGTACCACTGTGCCTTATGTTGAATAAACATTACTGAGTGAGGTCAGCAAAACCCAGCGAAGACACCTTCACCCCCAAAGAAAAGTTTGCTGTACTTACTGAACCGAGCAACTGTTCCTCGAGGCCGTACGTCGAGTATAACGCAAATGGATATATAATTCTGCATAAATCTGTAAGATGAAAATCAAACCGCCGAAATAATGGCAAGCTGTGGACACCTACGCGTCTAAGAAGTACGTCTGTTCAAAATATCAGTGTAGGCAGTACCATTGAGTGCCAAATGCTACAGATATCTTTATCCATACACGAACTATCTGACAAGCAGCCGACTGTTCCACTACAAACGTCTTTGCATATTCCTTGTATCCACAGTAATATATTGATATATTAATTTTAACAGACGTAAATAAAGGCATCGTTATATCATATTGTATTTTTTCTCTCATCTAACTCTTAAATGAAAAACAGGTTCTTACGGAAGTTAAGATCTTAGCCCCTTAAAAAATTTTTGCAAACCAGGTGAAGATCTATATTTCCATTACAACAGGATGTTGTAAAGAACTTTAACTCCATTATATTTAGTAGTTTGATTGACCAAATTACTTCTTTCAATTAATTCATCTTTTTATGCAAGGTTTTGGTTGAAATTAAAAAGTTAGTAACACGAAAAGTGGCATATTTCGAGTTACGCCAGTTTTCTTGTTCAGTGACGGATTTTATGCTGTACCGGAGTCACATTTTCACGTTATGAAAAACATCAAATATGTTTTTCGTGATGTGACATTAATATAGACCCTGATGATGACCTTAAAATAGGTAGAAAGCTTGGCAGTAACAAATGCATTTGCTTTTCTCTTCAAGGTCATACCTTGATGTATAGCGTTCGTGAATTATTTTAACTTAATTTCTTTTATTTTAATATTAATAGCATTCTTAATTATAATATTGCTTTGTGTTATTTTATACTTTCAACGATTTTTTAATATTTTAATTACAATATTTTGCATAAACAATATAAACTTAATTTCAATAATTAATTTTTTATTTCCGAATCCAAATTTGTATTGTAAATAACTAACTAGCAAATAGTATATCTGGATTTTTGACGTTTTGCGTTTTCGTTTGACGTTTTGCTTTTTCGCCGAACTCTTGGAGAAACGAAAAACCAAATTGATGTATCATGACAGCTTTTATTGCTAACAACCGTAATGGCGTGTACTTAATGCATCAAAAAAAAAAGTAAACTTCCATTTGTTTCTTCTGTAAAATTCTTTTTCATGTGGGTGTGCGATATAAGCAGCCAGGTAACTGTAATAAAATTTAACTTTTAAGATTACAATTATATAACTTTTACATCATCGCAGGTCGACGGCAAAAAACAAGTCAGAAGAACACATGTACAAGTGTTTAATACTACGTGTATGTTACAATGTATAAATTTATATACTGAATATAATCGCTTTTTTTATACTGTTGTTTTTTGTTCTCTCACCTAACTCTTAAATAGAGGCTAGCAATCAACATCCTCACTAAATTTGAATAGGTTAAGACGTAACCCCTTAAAAGACATTTATAATCTTGGTGGAGATTTATTTTTCTATTTCACCGGACTGTTGTAAATAAAAATGAAAATTGTAATTAAGTTGAAAATTGAAACCATCGGCCCTTCACACTCATTCTCGCTAATAAATACATTCACTCTTGTAATACAAAAGGAAATACAACAAAATGAGATATCTATCAGTGCTATATACTATAAAACTCAGCATCGTTATCTATCAGTGCTATACACAATAAAACACAGCATCGTTTACTCAAAAAATGGAACATAGGATCGAAATACTAGTTTCCCTGCTAAAACATAATTCTCATTCGGTGGTATTCCCACACGCTCTCTTTACAGAGCCAAAAAATGACACGCTTCAATAAAAAAATTTCTAGATATTTTTCATTATATTGTTAGAAATAAAATTGATCAAGACCAATTTGGGTTCAGGAGGTGTGCCCAAGGTGAAACTCGAATTTTACCGAGAAAAAAAAATATATCACCCTTTTGATTGAGAATCGGAAAGAGGAGGCAAGGAAACCTGTTGTTGCTTTTTGGCTAACTTAAAATCTCTATTTTACCATTTAATTTGAATATATCTGCTAAGTTTCAAGATGAAAAACAATTTAGTTATTATTGGGTTGTCCGGAAAATAATGCAGGATTTTGGTATTAAACAAAAAAAAAGAAACTAGTTACTTTAAAGCAATGTTCTTTAATCAAAATAATTTCNCATTCATACAAATGAGTAATCCTGTAAACGTAAACAGAATATTTTATATAGATTTTTTTTAATGAAAACTTAAAATCCTGCATTATTTTCCGGACAACCCGATAACAAAAAGAAAATTTGATAGCTCAATCGAAGTTTTGAATAATGAAGGAATGTCTGAACTTATCGCTCTTTGCAATGGTTTGACGTTTCGTTTAAACTGATTTAAACTTTCTAGGGGGTGTGGATCGATTTGCTCCCGAACAAAAACAAAAAAAGTTATATTCATATGCATTTATTTATATAAGAAGTGTAATGTTGACTACGTGGTCTGCTTTTCAATGATTAATTTTAAATTGAAACTAAACAAGATTCTTTATGGGATGTTGACAGTTAACAGCTTAATACTATATTTAAAAATGTTAATGCTGCTAATTCTACTTTCGCCGGATATTACAAATAAACAAAAAAATTATGCAGGATGTTTCATTATGAGATTAAAAAAAAAAAATAACGTGTTACATAAAGCTTTCAAAAAAATCTTGTACATGGGGAAGTCAAAGTTTTAAACGATGAGAAATATTTAAGTCATATAGATGACAGAATTCTTTTATTAAAGGCAAAACTAAAGACTGAAATGAATATTAAGATTGGCTTAAACATATGAGTAGAGTCGAGGGGTTAGTTAACGGATTTTTGTTTCTTTATTGGGAAGAGAGTTGGCGTTTGGCTGTCAGTACTAGAACAAAATTGTTCAATGTGAATGCAGCTCAAAATCAGCGAGTTAACCTTGGATTTGACATTGAGAAAAAGATGAGGAAACGTTCTAGACAATGCATCAAGAGTGATGGATTGGATTTCCTCTTCCAAAATTTAAATTTTATAGTTTTGTGATTTTATGGTTTAGTTAAAGACAATTAAAGACAATAACGCAGACGTCGACTCTTTTACGAGAAAACTGTTTATGTTTGAAAGCATACATAATCAGTAAACAAAACCCGTCGTCCTCATAACAAAAATAAAAATTGGGGATTCGCATTGTTCGCATATTTGACCGTTAAAACTGGAAATATGAAGATCCTTTAGACAAACGACTAGTGCGGTATTTTCAAATGAAGACCATTTTTTATAATTTGATCATCTATCAGCATATGCTAGTTCATAATGATAAGGAACCTTTAATAACTATATGCGTGTTTAGTGACCATTAATTAATGATTATTTGGTGATCGTGAGATGCTGTCTGGTGTGATGTAGGTTTAGAAAAACCTTTACTTTATTGTGACAACGTTTCGATTTTTATAGAGATCATCTTCAGGGTTCAAAGTGTTTGTTTTCTTTACAGATGTGTCATTACTGTGTGTCGTATGGGGACCTCAACACGACAAGTAACGACACATCTACACAGAAAACAAACACTTTCAGCTACTACTTTATACTATCAAAACACGTTTAATATTTGCATAAAACAATTAAAAAAAAAAATCAAGGAAAACATTTATTCTTATTTAATAAAGCTAAAATTTATTCGAATCGTAATAATTAAATAGACAAGTTGGTTTACTTTGATGATGTCATCAGCGAGGATATTATATATCAGATATATATATATATATATTGGGTTGTCCGGAAAATAATGCAGGATTTTAAGTTTTCATTAAAAAAAATCTATATAAAATATTCTGTTTACGTTTANTCCATTATCAAACCGCACCACTAAAAAGTCAAGAAGTATCACAATAAAACGCTTTCTGGGCATAAAAAACGTACGAACTAATTTATTTACTAGAGTGACGTTACCACCCTGTATAGAGTTATCGGCCTGTGTTATCACTCTAAAAAAAAGTTTGATGATTCAAATCATAAAACTATAGAAACATCACAGAAAACTTTCATTATTTCGAAAATTTATTCGAAAAAATCGAATTAATTAAAATGAACTAACTGGTTTATAATTAATTAACGTTTTTAGTAACGATAAAAATATCTCTATCGTGCGCGGGATTCAACACTTAGATGCGCCGCTACTCTACCACTTGAGCTATCGTAACTTCGATCCACTCGGATGGAAAATTCAAAAGGTGGGGTTGAGATGGGCAGTTAGTCTTAGTAACAGAGTGGATCGAGGTCACAATAGCTGAAGTGGTAGAGTAGCGGAGTATCTAGCCGAAGGTCGTGGGTTCGAATCCCGCTCGTGTCACTGACTTTTTTATCCCAGATAAAAACCTTAATTAATTGAAAGATATTAATTGTCAAGCGGAACCCGAAAACTAGCGAATTTAACTGGTTTACTTTGATAATGTAATCAGTGAGGTTATTTTAACTAAGAATTTCACTATTAAAAAAAGCGGAATTCGGTCCCTCGACCCTTGTCTCAATACTCTGCTACTCTAACCACGTGAGCTATCGATTAATAACAAGGCCTCCAGTTCTCTATGCTTTTGCTAAAAAAGAATCTTCCAGCGGATTGTTTATTATCATTGTGCAAACACACTCGACCCAAGGGCATTAAAACTGATGAAACCGAGTGGGGAGTTAAAATGAATTTAGCCTCGCCTCAATGTTCTTAATTTCATTTCTTGTTTGACATGTCACCAGTACTTGTTTCCCTCCTGGCCGTGGCGGCATCCCTTCTCGCCTATGCCGTCTACAGGACTAAGAAGATCTACAGGACGTGGAAGGATCGCGGGGTGAAACACGAAGAACCATGGCTTTTCTTAGGTGAGATCACAGATTACGAGCTTTTCATCTCTCCTGCTATTGCGATGCAAGAAGTGACATTTGACCGACCATTTGGTTAACTTGCAACTATCCACTTCCGTGGACCCTGGGTTTTCGATAGTACTCCCCCCATTTTATTTAAACTCATAAATACCCCGTTTCACACTACCGCAATGAAAGCAATGTCTTCAACAAAATGAGAGGCAGTACTATAGAACACCCATTCTCATTTAATAAAAAACGAAAACCCAGCACGAGTAAATACTATTAAAAAACCAACAGTTTAAAGGATCCGTTAGCATTGTATTCAGGGTTATCAAGTTTTTATGCAAATCAATTGACAATGGATTTGTCGTTGAACTTTGAAAAAGGTATGGCAACTATTTTTCATTTAACAACTAATAGGACAAGTTGTCAGTAGATAGGACAAGTCAAAAAGAGGTTGCTTGTTGGTTAACCAACAAAAGAAGGTTATTTGTAGGTTAATTATTTGGGCAGTAGGTTATATATTGCATCCTTCTCCACATCGGGCAGAAACTATCCCACTTTTCTTACAATGACCATATTTTTCAGCAACACTTTTTTTTGTAATAGGTAGTAAACAATAAAAAATTGGTGACTAGTTATACGAGCTGAATTAGTTGAAAAATATGTTTATTCTATAAAAAGTAGGATATTTCTTGTTGTCCAATGACAACAATTCTATGTTATGGTTACATAACAGTAGTTGTTGTTCTCTTACTTCCTAGGTTATTTGTCGAGAGAAAGTGTTAAAAAATATTACGAGGAAACGATAAAAAATAGGTTGCCGTTATACGAAATGAATTAGTTGAAAAATATGGTTATTCTAGGAAAAATAGGATATTTATTGTTGTCCAATGGGAGAATGGAGGTCATGTTATGGTTACAAAACACAAGTAGTTTGTTGTTCTCTGGTTTGTTAGGTTATTTGATCGAAGAAAATATGTACGGGTTATTCGGCTAAAACGGAGTTTGCTCCATTGGGTATGTGGTGCTTGAATTGTTATACATATGCCAAGGTTTCGGCTCTATATATGGCTTTCCATGGGGCACTACAGCAACATAAAAATGATTTTTGCTTCAATTTCTTTGAATTGATCTGATTTCATAACATAGAAATAATATTTACATTTCTCCTTTATACGGAGGTTGTTTGTTTTATTAGTCATCCATCTACAAATGTAGTAGGTTATTTAAGGGTTATCCGACAAAAGTCGGAACTAAAAATTAGAATTGAAGGTAATTTCCTGAAGATGGTCCTTCAAAAGGCGAGCCTAGGCGAGAGGTTGAAAGAGGTGTGTGACCAGTTCCCGGATGAGAAGATGGTCGGATTTTACGAGTTTATCAGTCCAGCCCTGGTCATCAAAGACGCCGAATACGTCGAAGCGGTCCTCATCAAAGACTTTCCTCATTTCGTCGATCGTGGATTCGAAGTAGATGAGAAGACGAACCCGCTTGACGTCAGCATTGCCACCATGACCGGCAAAAGGTAAGGCTTCGTTTATAAAACTTCTGGGTCATGTACTTACTGTTGTTTTTTGCCAAGGTGGAGAGCTTACAGAAACAAGCTTTCGCCGATATTCACAACAGGGAAGCTGAAATCCATGTACGGACTTATGACGGACGTAGGTGACAATTTGATGAAGGCGATATCCAGAGAGAAAAAGGAATGCCTGGAGTTGAAAGACGTCCTGGGACGTTTCGCCATGGACGTGATCGGATCTTTCGCTTTCGGCATGGACGCCAACACCCTGGCCGATCCCGAGTCCAAATTTAGAAAAATGGGGAAAAATGCCGTCGATGTCAACTTCCAACAATTCCTCAGGTTAATGATTATAACTAACTTCCCAAAATTGTCCAAAAAATACGGCCTGTCTTTAAGCCCTAAAGACATTCAGGATTATTTCGGTAACGTCATCAAGGACACGATTAACTACAGGATGGAAAAGAAAGTCAGGAGGAACGACTTCCTCGACCTCATGCTCCAGCTCAGGGAGAAAGGTTCCGTGGAAATAACGACTAAAGACCCCAGCGATGATTACCTGGCGATCAGCAATGAGACATACTCGACAGACAAATTTGGTAAGCTATCACACAACGACACAAACCATTACCATAAATTATAAATGAATAGGTTATATATTGTTTATCAGAAAATAGTTTGTTTGAGTATATTAACGTGTATCCACGGTAGGGGGAAAGTAGGTTGGTTATTGGTTAACGATGAAGGGTGCCAGTTGTCTAAACATAAACGGATTAATATATAAATAGTAGTTAAGTTTTGTTTTCTGCGAGGAATGGTTATCTGCCAAGAGCCTTTTGTTATTAACCGAAGAGTAGGTTATCGAGCCAGCCCTAAATAAGATTATGTTAAACATAAGACTAATTGTTGGTTATTATGAGTAGTATGTTATTTTAATTTTTTAAATAGATTATTTAATAAATCTAATAAAGTAATAATTTGTTACCCGTAGTGTAGGTTAGTCAACCGTTATCGTTTAGAAAATAGGTTTTTCTTTGATTATTATTAAAAAAGGTAAATTGTTCACATCATATCCATAAAGAAAAGCGGTTATTCATGACTATTTTCTTATAACCAATGAATAACCTACCCAACCAGTAGGTGAATAAAGTGACATATAAAAAACAAACGACTTTTTTATTTTTTATTATAGAAGTGACAGATGACCTGATGGTCGGCCAGGCTTTTGTATTCCTCACGGCAGGTTTCGAAACGACAGCTATACTAATGAACATGACGTTTTACGAATTGTCCAAGAATCCAGAGATACAGGAACGAGTCAGGAAGGACATAAATGAGAAAGTACGGGAGCACGGCAGCCTCAGCTTCGACTCCGTCAAGGACATGTCCTACCTGGACATGTGCTTGAAAGAGACATTGAGGAAGTACCCGCCAGCCCAGATGCTCTTAAGAACCTGCACTAAAGAGTACACATTTCCCAACGGCCTCGTCGTCAAACCGGGCGAGAGATTGATCATCCCGGTTTTCGCAATTCATCGCAGCGATGAGTACTACCCTGACCCTGACAAATTCGACCCTGAACGCTTTGGCCCCGATGTCTTCCAGCGGCCGTGCACTTTCTTGCCTTTCGGCGAAGGTCCGAGGGTCTGCATAGGTAACCGAAATGATTTATTAAAAAAAAAAAAAAAATTATTGAATGTATTTTCCAGCGATGAGGTTCGCGATACAGCAGATGAAATTCTGTCTTGCAAAGGTTCTCATGTCCTACAAGATCAAAGTGAACCCTAAAACAAAAGAACCGATTGAACTAAAAAAGAAATCGTTCATCACTACTACAAAACACCCGATTTATTTCGACCTAGAAGGGATTTCTTCATAAACTTAAATTTTTCTTTTTTGTATGATTTTATCTTAAATATAAACAAAAGTCGACAACTAAGACATTATATTTATCGATTATTCCATTAAAAAAAGTTGTGTGTTGGTTATCCAACGAAAGGTAGTTTGTACATTGGTTAAAGTTCATCATTCTTGGAAAAGTAGGTTATGTACTGATTATAATATGACAAAGAAACCACCAGGTAAAAGTCGGTTATGCATAGTTATCCGCATCAAACCAGTGCGCGTGGTGTGGCACTTATTGATGATGGACGTTCCATCAGGTATGCGGCTGTTGTCATCGTTGTTCCATACGAACCTCTTCCTAAGAGGCCTCTAGTCGTTTTCGAGAAACTGCGTCTTACCGTGTCCAAATTTCGGAACGCAATGCTCCAAGAAGATTAAATCGGTATGGACTGATGTCTTTTCGCCCCGAAGGAGAACCTGAATTGACCAGAACTCACAGATTTACTCCCATTTTGTTGAGAACACAGTCATTGATTGGTCTTTGTACGATTGTTATCCTGAACTTTTTACAGATGAGTGTAGATTTGCTCTACAATCTCCAGATGGGCGTGAAAGAATGTGGAGGAGTTGAAATGAAAGGTACGAAGCTTGTAATTTTTTCCAGAGCCAACCTTTTCAACATAGCTCAATAATGGTGTGGCATTTCAACGGAGAGTCGCACAGAGTTAGTAGTTGTTTGTGGAGCATCTTTGATGGCCACTCGCTATATGGATAAAATTTTGGAACATCATGCGTTGCCTATCCTCGATGAAATCGACGACAATTTTTATCCTATTACACGATAATGCCCGTCACCATGTCGCTCGCATAGTACAAACGTACCTTCAACAGCATAACATCATGGTCTTAAGTCTTCTCTAGACTTGAACCCCATCGAACATTTATTGGATAACCCAAAAAACGAAGCACGTCAATCACTTCCTGATACACGCCACCATCTTGAAAGAATTCTTTGTGAAGAACGGGCTAACCTCCACCGAAGACATTTCTAGACTGGTAGAAAGTATGCCGAGGCTCTTCGAGATGAAATTAAGACAAGAGGAAGAAATACGCGATATTGAAATGTTAATTAAAAACATTTTTTCATTTTCCTTAGCAATTAAAAAAAAGTCAACTTTTTTAGACAAAGTAAACGTTAAACTTTGATTAATATATAAAAATATGTACAAATTTAGTTATATTACAAGTGGATGGAATTTTTTGCCTGACGGTGTAGTTATATTTTAATGAGTGATGTGTTGTGTGATTTGACAGTTCGATGGGTACCTGACCTGTTTGGACTATAAATAAATAAATAAATAAATAAAATTATCCAGGAGACCACGCTTATCAACAAAACTTGGTAAAATTGCTTTACTCAGTTTAATTTATTTAGATATATTTCATATTTTTCTTTAAAGATATCCAGTAAGCAAGAAAAAACGAAGTGATAAAGATTGCAAATATTTACAACAAAAAAAAGTGTTTCGAGTGTCGGTCTTATTGTTTTATCTTAAAAATTGGAATTTTTGACTATGAAGAGGATCGTTGTGCAATTTTTCGATTAGAGATTTCAAGGGCGAACGAACCGAGGTGGGGGAGTTGAACACCAAAGTCGCCTACTGACTTAATTGACCCATTGACTGTCATGTCGCCGGTACTTGCTTCTCTCCTGGCCGTGGCGGCAGCCCTTCTCGCCTATGCCGTCTACAGGATGAAGAAGATCTACAGGACGTGGAAGGATCGAGGGGTGAAACACGAAGAGCCGTGGCTTTTGTTCGGTAAGATTTTTTCACCCATTGTCTCTGTTAAAAAATAATTTAACGCACCTCATTTGAGTATGATAGTGTCAGGGTCATAGCAATTTTAGAGGAAAGTTGCGGTCAGTGTGAAGTTTCCATGAGACTGTCATGGGGACGACGACCATGTTGGTGTGTATTTAATACCAAGTATTTTCACTTCTGACATGAATCACGTCCGTTAAATGTCTTTGCATTCCCGTGAAAATATTCCTGATAACACCCCGATGAATTATTTCCCATTCATGAAGAACAGTCGTTTCCAATTCTTCTAGTGTGTTAGGACGTGGGTTTCAAAATCGTACTCGTAGCCTAAGTTGGCCCCAAATGTGTTCCATTGGGTTCCAATCTGGACTCCGAGTAGGCCAACCAAGCACTCAACTCCAACCTCACGCAGGTCACAATACTTGCTCTATCGAGGCTGGCTTATCCTGCACTACATGTTCTTCGGTAGTTTTGTAACCTACCTGGGAAACCATACAGCTTGGGACTACCTTTTCCTTAAACTCCTGGAGAAAATCGAAATATTTTGGACTTGTCTTATTCTTATCTCATTTCCCGTAATGCCCCGGTTTCTTAAAATCTGATGACGGATGAATCTATCCTCACATTCGTCTGTAGACGTAGGTCGACGCTGGCCTTCTAGTGTGAAGCCCTGCTTCTGAAGCGCCTAAGAACACTTCCTACTGTACAGTGGTTCGTACTCACAACGGACGGGACGACGAGGTTGGTGTCTGAGCCGGATCTGAGCCAAACTTTTTTTGGTGATTCTACACACTAAAATATAACACAAAGGACCTCATTTCGCAAAAAAAAAAAATCGCAAATTTAATTTGTATGTTTTTAATGTTGTTCTATGTGCTCAAATCAACATTGTAAATATAACATTTACAGCCTTTCTAGAGGAAAGATTGCCGTAAAAATGTAGCAAAAGCTATTAAAGTTTATCAGTAAACCAAAAATTGGTAAAAACCAAATAGTATTTTTAAAGTAAACTAGGCCATATTTTTTTTCTTGTGAAACTAATTAGAAATTTTGTTTTAACCCCCCTAGAGACCCTTAAATATTAATTTGTTTGAGTTTAAATTTATACATTTGTTGACACTTCGAATTTTTCTGATTTTTAAGAAGTCAAGAATTTGGTCAATAGACCACTAAACATTATGGATTTAATAAGAAAAAGAAGTATCACTTCACTAACAGCTAGCTCCCCGAGGCCATTTTGTAAGTAACTGAGAATCGAAATACACGACACTTGAAAAATATCAAAAAAGAGGGAAAATTCGAACGATTGTTGGTTGAGATGTCCGAGTGGTTCGAAGTCACGATGGCTCGAGTGGTAAGAGCAGCTGCGTATCGAGCCGAAGGTCGTGGGTTCGAATCCCGCTTGTGACACTTAACTTTTTCATTTCCACCAAGACGTTACATAAAAGGAATAATTAATTGAAAGAAGTAATTGGGACAATAGACCACTAAACATAATGGAACTAATATAGATATTAATATATTCTCTACAATTTAATTTATATCAACCAATACCTTACATAAAAATTAATTAATTGAAATAAGTTATTTGGTCCATCGGACCGCGAAACCTAATGGATTTAATATAATTTATATTAATGACGTTATCAGTATGACCACACTGGACTATGAGCAACTTTTTTGCTTCAGGTTGGAACTTGTAAAGACTGCAATCGCACAGCTGTAATAAAACAATAGAAAAAATGCCAATTTAATCAAAGAGAAACTGGTTTATTTTAATGACGTCATCAATGACGATAATTCAGCCAACGATCATATTATAAAAGTGCATCAAGTCAAGATCAAAACGTAACACTATAAAATACAAAAATATCAAAACCAAACGATTTCCAGGTTATAAAAATGAACTAATTTATTTACTTTAGAGACGCCATCACTCCCTACAATTAGCTATATAATTGTCTGTAGTCACAGTATCAAAACAAGTTTAATATTTGCATAAAACAATTTTTTTTTAAATCAAAGAAAACCATTATTATTTAATAAAGCTAAAATTTATTCGAATCGTAGTAATTAAATGGACAAGTTGGTTTACTTTGATGATGTCATCAGTGAGGATATTATATATCTCAGCTATATATATATTTATATATATAAAACAAACGAGCTAATTTATTTACTAGAGTGACGTAATCACTTGCTATAGTTAGCTATAGTTAGCATAGTTATACCTGTCTGTGTTGTCACTATAAAAGAACCGTTTGATTATTCAAATCATAAAACTATATAAACATCACAGAATACCTTCATTATTTATAAAATTTATTCGAATTAATGGAACTAATTAAAATGCACACTGGTTTACTTGGATGATGTCACAAGTGAGGATATTTTGACTAACGATTTCACTAAAAAAGTACACCTCAGCTTATGATCAAAAAGGACAAAAATATCGAAACAAAACGCTTTCCATAAAAATTATAAAGGATGGAGTGAGTATAACGTACAATCTTTATAAAAAAGGTAGATCCTACTTACAGTTAGTTCTTCTCAACCACCGAATTTCAAGCGTATAGCTCATCATTACGTATAGGAAGTTTTTTACAGGTTATCTAAGATCTTGATTTGTTTATAGGTTATCTTATTAATAAGAAGGTAGGTTACTATGGGTTATTTACTGCTGGTTATCTAAGTAGTGGAGGGTTTTTCAATGGTTATATGCCTAATAAACATTCAATAGCTGTTTTCTTTAACGATTTTTTTTTTTAAATGTTTGATGTAGGAAACTCGTGGAGAAACATTCTAAAGCAGACGTCCCAGGGAGAGAGGTTTAAGGAAATCTGCGACAAGTTCCCAGACGATAAGATAATCGGCATGTACGACTTCCTGCAGCCGATTCTTGTGGTCAAAGACGTCGAAGTGGTCGAAGCAGTGTTGGTGAAGGACTTTCCCCATTTCGTCGATCACGGTTTCGATGTAGACGAAAACACCAACCCAATGGATATCAACCTCTTCTCCATGACTGGAAAAAGGTGAACGGTAGTCCGTTTGTCTGTTTCTTTTTAACGTATGATTTCTTTTTCTTCCACCAAGGTGGAGAGCTTACAGGAACAGGTTGTCACCGATTTTCACCACAGGGAAGCTGAAGACGATGTACGGACTGATGACTGAGATCGGCGAGAACTTGGTTAACGCGATCGAAAAGGAGTCGACGGATTGCGTCGATTTGAAAGACGTGTTGGGCCGTTTTTCGACGGACGTCATAGGCAATTTCGCGTTCGGTTTCGACCCTGGCACCCTGGCGGACCCTAAATCCGAGTTCAGAACGATGGGAAAGAAGGTCTTCGAATTCAACGCTTTCCAAATTCTCAAATACGTCATCATCTTCAATTTCCCTAGCTTAGCGAAAAAGTTGGGCCTCTCCATCAACAACATGAAGGTGCAGGATTATTTCGTCAACATCATCAAGGACACGATTGTCTACAGGGTGGAGAAGAATTTCCGGAGGAACGATTTCCTTGACCTCATGCTTCAACTCAGAGAGAAAGGTTCCGTGGAAATAACAACAAAAGACCCCAGTGATGATTACCTCGAAATCGGGAATAACACTTACACGACAGAAAAATTCGGTAAGCTACCTGAAGATAACGCTAACCATTTCCATAAAATATTAATAAAAATGTATGTTATAAGTAGATTACCTGTGGGGGGGAGTTTCTCATTGGTTATCTTTAGATCTTAATGGTGATTCATCATGTGTACTGGACCATCAAAATGAGTCACATGTGTCATTAATCATAATGGCTGTCTTTCCTTGTATAGCATCTAAATAACCTACTCAGATCACCGATAATCAATGAATAACCCACTTGCCAAGCTAGGTCAGGTGTAATCAATGAAGTATATGATTCTTAGGTTATCTGTTTAAAGATTGGTAATGATTGGTTATATACAGGTTATATGTATATATAGAAAAATTCAACTTTGACATCAATTAATAACTATATTAACCAAATGTGCAAAACATTTTTTTGTTTAGAAGTGACAGATAACCTGATGGTTGGGCAGGCTTTCACCTTTCTGACAGCCGGCTTTGATACGACAGCTGCAATCATGGACCTCGTCTGTTACGAGTTTTCCAAGAATCCTGAGATACAGGAACGTGCGAGGAATGAAGTCAAAGAGAAAGTGCGCCATCACGGTAAACTTAGCTTCGATTCCGTCAAGGACATGACCTACCTGGACATGTGCCTGAAGGAGACGATGAGGAAGTACCCGCCGGTGCCCATGCTCATGAGGATCTGCACGAAAGAATACACTTTCGACAATGGATTGACCGTCTACCCGGGTGACAAACTGTTTATCCCCTTGTATTCAATCCACATGGACCCGACCTACTTCCCTGAACCTGCAAAGTTCGACCCTGAACGCTTCGGACCTGATGTCTTCCAGAAGCCCTGCGCCTTTTTGCCGTTTGGCGAAGGGCCGAGGATATGCCTCGGTGAGTAATCAATTATCACAATTTTATCACTAGTCCTAACCTTTTTTTATTTATTTTGATTACAGCTATGAGGTTTGCCTTACAAGAGATGAAGTTCTGCTTGGCAAAGATGCTGATATCGTACAGCCTCAAGCTGAACCGAAAGACTAAAGAACCATTGGTATTTAACAAAAAGACCTTCTTCACCACTCCTCAAGACCCAGTTTACTATGACCTGGAAAAGGTCGCCTTATAATCATTTAAAGTAAAGTGTTTTGAATTCCTTAGAGTTCCTATTTTATTTTACATACTAAACCCTATCGAACACCATTGGGACGAACCCGTACCAGAGGATAAAAAGTCAACCAGTGTTGCCAGAGAATTTGCTATTTGTTGGATGTATTATTGCAAAACAGCGAGTCTATCTAACCTCTTCCGATCTCCCCGTGACTTTGGTAAAATTTCATACTTGATTGCCAACAAATCTAGTCTTTTTTCACGAATAATTTGAAGAGGAATAACACGTTTTTATAAAATTAGTTCAATTAATCATACTTTTCATCGAACGTCTTAGTTGCGATGAAAAAGTTGGTATCACATGCGGGAATTTGGATCCACGACCTTTAGCTGCAAACACACACGACCCAAGGGCAATAAAACTGATGAGACCGAGTGGGGAGTTAAAATGAATTTTGCCTCGCCTCTGGCCGTGGTGGCATCCCTTCTACAGGACTAAGAATATCTACAGGACATGGAAGGATCGAGGGGTGAAACACGAAGAACCATGGCTTTTACTAGGTGAGATCACAGATAACGAGCTTTTTATCTTCCCTGCTATTGCAACGCAGGAAGTGACATTTTGACCGACCATTTGGTTAACGTGCAACTCTCCCACTTCCGTATCAACCCAGGGTGTTTTATAGTACTGCCCCCCCCCCATTTTATTTAAACTCATTAATATCCCGTTTCACTCTACCGTAATGAAAGTAATGTCTTCTACAAAATGAGAGGCAGTAATATAGAACAGCCTTATGTTCTATTCTCATTTATAAAAAAATGACACCCCGGACGAATAAAAATACTATTAAAAAGCCAACAGTTTAAAGGATCCAATATGACTGCATTCAAGGTTTATCAAGTTTTTATGCAAGTCGATTGATTTTGAAACTTGTTTTAAGTTTTTTACGAAGTGACTAGTCGTTGATCTTGGAGAAAGGTATGGCAACTATTTTTCCTATAAAAACTATTTGGACCGGTTAGTCAAACAAAAGAGGTTATTTATTGGTTAACTATTTCAGCAGTAGGTCATATATTGCTTCCTTCTCCCCATCGGGCAGTGTAATATCGTTTAGTAGTAAGATTTTTTTTGTAAAAAGCAGTACGATAAAAAATTGGTGACTAGTTAAACGAAATAATTAGTTGAAAAATATGGTTATTCTATAAAAAGCAGGATATTTCTTGTTGTCCGATGAGAGAATAGAGGTTATGTTATGGTTACACAGCAGAAGTAGTTGTTATTTTATTTCCTAGGTTATTCGTCGAGAGAAAGTATTAAAAATAATATTACGAAGAAACGATAAAAACAGGCGAGGGGAAGTAGTTAATGTATTGGTTATCCAAAAAAATGTTACGAGAAAACGATAAAAAAATAAGTTACTCGTTATACGAAAGGAATTAGTTGGAAAATAAGGTTATTTTAGGAAAAGTAGGATATTTATTGTTGTCCAATGGGAGAATGAAGGTCATGTTATGGTTAGAAAGCACAAGTACTTTGTTGTTCTCTGGATTGCTAAGTTATTTGATCGGAGAAAGTAGGTTATGTACGGGTTATTCGGCTAAAAAATAGTTTGCTCCATACAATGTAGGCACTCTTGATTTAAGAATTAATTGGGTATGTGGTCCTTGAATAAATACACTGTACTATACATATGCCAAGGATTTGGCTCTATATTTGGCTTCCCATGGGGCACTGCAGCAACATAAAAATGATTTTTGTTTCAATTTCTTTCAATTGATCTGATTGCATAACATAGAGATAATATTTATATTACTCTTATAAGGAGGTTGTTTGTTAATTGGCTATCCATCTATAAGTGTAGTAGGTTTTTAGGATTATCCGACAAAAAGTTGACACTAAAAATTTGAATTGAAGGAAATTTCCTGAGGATGGTCCTTCAAAAGGCGAACCTAGGCGAGAGGTTGAAAGAGGTGTGCGACCAGTTCCCGGATGAGGAGGTTCATCCATCCAGCCCTGGTCATCAAAGACCCCGAATACATCGAAGCGGTCCTCATCAAAGACGTTCCTCATTTCGTCGAGACAACGAACCCGCTTGACGACAGCATTGCCGCCATGACCGGCAAAAGGTAAGGCTTCCTTTGTGAAACTTTTGGGTCATATACTAACTATTGTTTCTATGCCAAGGTGGAGAGCTTACAGAAACAAGCTTTCGCCGATATTCACAACAGGGAAGCTGAAATCCATGTACGGACTTATGACGGACATAGGTGATAATTGGATGAAGGCGATAAACAGAGAGACAAAGGAATGCCTTGAGTTGAAAGACTCCTAGGACGTTTCTCCATGGACGTGATCGGATCTTTCACCTTCGGCATGGACGCTAATACCCTGGCCGATCCCGAGTACAAATTCAGAAAAATGGGGAAAAAAGACTTCAACTTCAAACAATTTCTCAGGTTCATCTTTATAACCAACTTCCCAGAATTGTCCAAAAAGTACGGCCTGTCTTTAAGCCCTAAAGACATTCAGGATTATTTCGTCAACGTCATCAAGGACACGATTGACTACAGGGTGGAGAAGAAAGTCCGGAGGAACGACTTCCTCGACCTCATGCTCCAGCTCAGAAAGGTTCCGTAGAAATAACTACTAAAGACCCCAGCGATGATTACCTGGCGATCAGCAATGAGACATACTCGACAGACAAATTTGGTAAGCTATCACACAACGACACGAACCGTTACCATAAATTATAAATGAGTAGGTTAAATATTGATTATCAGAAAATAGTTTGTTTGAGTATATTAACAGGTGGTAATTTATTGTTTATCCATCCATATATGGTAGGGGGAAAGTAATTGGTTAACTGTGAGTTATGCTGGTTGTCTAATGGTTATTTGACGAGGATAGTCTGTTATCTGAATTGGGAAAAAAGTAGGTTATTCCTTTGTTATCCATCTAATTTCGGTGTTGAAAATTTACATAGCGGTAGACTAGAAGAAATTAATTTTTTTCGTATGCTTACTATTAAAACGAATTAAAAATAAATAAACTAATAAACTAAACTAAAACTAAATTAAATAAAAAAGGTAACCATTGAGTAACCTTAATCCAACTTTGTTATCAACAAGGACGCTTATTCATGCACTTTACTCGTTTTACATAGATTATGAAATATAAAAAACAACTTGATTTTTTTATTTATTGTAGGAGTGACAGATAACCTGATGGTCGGGCATGCTTTTGTCTTCCTCACGGTCGGTTTCGAAACGACCGCTGTACTTATGAACATGACCTTTTACGAAACGTCCAAGAATCCCGGGATACAGGCACGAGTCAGGGAGGAGACAAACGAGAAAGTACGCTAACACGGCAGCCTCAGCTTTGACTCCGTCAAATAAATGACCTACCTGGACATGTGCTTAAAAGAGATATTGAGGATGTACTCGCCGGCCCAGAACTTCTTCAGAAACTGCACTAAAGAGTACACATTTCCCAACGTCCTCGTCGTCAAACCGAGCGAGAAATTGATCATTCCGGTTTTCTCAATTCATCGCAGCGATGAGTACTACCCTGACCCTGAACGCTTCGGCTCCGATGTCTTTCAGCGGCCGGGCACTTTCTTGCCTTTCGGCGAATGTCCGAGGGTCTGCATAGGTAATCGAAATGATTTATCAAGAAAAAAATAAAATTAATTGAATGTATTTTCCAGCGATGAGGTTCGCGATACAGCATATGAAATTCTGTCTTGCAAAGGTTCTCATGTCCTACAAGATCAAAGTGAACCCTAAAACAAAAGAACCGATTGAACTCAACAAAAAATCTTTCGTCACCACTACAAAACACCTGATTTATTTCGACCTGGACGTGATTTTTTCTTAAACTTAAAAAACGATTTTTTTCCTTTTTCCTTTTTGTAAGATTTTATATTAATATTAAATACATAATTATGTACCAAAGAGAAAATATGAATTCAATAAAATCCAAAGAAATGTACTTATAAAACAATGGACGAACAAGATCGCCTATTTATTGATTATTACTTTAAAAAAGTAGTATATCTGCTGGTTATAAAACGACAAAGAAACCACCAGGTCAAAGTAGGTTTTGCATGGTTATCCACAAAAAAGTTTTCACATAACCAGTGTCAATAGTTGAAAGAACGTTTTACAGGATATGTACCAAAAAGAAGGTTTCACAAAACCAACTAAGCCAATAGTTAAAAGTAAGTGGTTCTGTACCAAAAAGAAAGTTTCACATAACCACGTAATTCAATAGTTATGAGTATGTTTTACAAATCTACGTACCAAAAAGAAGGTTTTACAAAACCATCTAAAGAAGTTTGTGAGCCCCCCCTCCCCGTGAGACTCTCCAAGCTAGCTGTGAACAAAATAATCAATCTACACCACTCAGGTAGTTTTCTATTGGCAAAAATCGCTGCTCTAACAGAGGCACTGAGAAGTACTGGTTAAAGAAGAATTCTCCCCCTACCAACCACTATATTTGCGGGGCTTATTTGCACAAAATAAATCGTAGTGTCCCCAAACTGTGCCACCTGTGATAAACCAGAAACTATCAAGCATTTGATTTTAGAGTGTCCAGAATACGAGTCTACCAGAATGGACTTCCTTGAAAATCTGTACAACATAAAAGAAATCAACAAAGCGGTCAGCTGGGAGAGCCTACTTGCTCTTAACAGAGTGGATGTATACCAGGTCATACATTCTTTCTTACAAAATAGTGGCATCAACGTGTAAACGTGAAATCGTTAAGGTAGATTCAATCCCCTTGAGGTTCAGCCCGGATGCGGAGCTGTCTTCGGGTCGGGCTCTCTAAACGCGCTGGGCATTTAGTCCCCGGGATGTGGACTTTTCCATAGGACAATGAGTCATATTTTTGTAAATGGTTTTTATCCACATCCTCCTGAAACACCCGTTTTATGAAGAACAGTAGCCTTTTAAATTGTGTAAAACTGTGGACGAGAGCCTCCCCGGGGATGGCTTTCTGCGGCCGGCGAAGATCCCCTCCTCGTAGGACGGCTATTAGCTTACCGA